GGCGTTAGTGCCACCCCTTCACTCACAGTGCATACATAACCTGTTATCATCTCTTGTGAGCAACACGTAGCTTCCTGCTGGTGAATCATCTTTTATTTCATGTTTGTGCATCATCTGTCAAAACAGGACTTGATCACCAATTAAAGCTGCTAGAGCACAGGAGCAAGGTAGATGCATCACAGCTCTGCTGCCTCTTTGGAGGCACATAGAGAAGTGCTGCCACATCAGACATGACACCTGACACATCAGCAACAGTGATCTGCTGCCTATGCTTCAACCTCAAGCCCCGAGGGTGACAAAAACAAGCAGTTAGACTAGGAGCCCATATTTTATTCTCCAGTCATCGGCAGTATGAGTTGCATATAGTCATGATTGCTCACAGATGGCCAAGAAAATGATGCCACTGGAAAAGATCCTTTCAATTGCTTTCATAAAAATAAGTACTCAAACAACTCAATTTTCCAACAAGTGGAACCCAACTGGGTTGGTGTACCAGTTTCACAGCTAAGCAACCTTCCCCTAAAATTCCCTCCAGGCCTCGGCCACTCGTTTCCTTTTTCTCACTCTTACACACAGCTTGCCAACACAGATACCATCAGGTACCAAACAGAAACAGCAAAAAGAGGCAATCTGCCAAAAAGCAAAGGTGCAACAGAACCTCTCTTACCTAGGCAGAAAAGGCTGCCTGCAAGCATCATTATACTTCCTTCACTCATGAAAAGCAGGACCAAGCTGGTATGAGTGACTCCCCAATCAAAGACACATTGTGATTGCGAAAATTCTGATGCCTACCTGTACTTCAGGGCTAGGTGGTGCAGACAGGAGTTACATCATATGTAGATTTCCTTGGAGATGCTGAAGAGGAAACTTAAATTCATAATCCACTTGATCCTTCCTTGATTCTCCCAAAAAAAATACAGAGGGCACCTTTTAACCCATTCTGCATTCAGTTATTGCCATATTTGTTCCCCTTGGTTTACAGAAGGTCTGAGCAGTACTGGAGACAAGTCACTTCAGGATGCCTGCCTGGATTTTCAGTGCCAGTTGTATGTCCCACCCTTCCTTCTGAAATTTCTACACTTGATACCAGAGTAATTTCAGCTGCTTTGTCACCATTGCAGGTCACAGTACGGTATATGCTGGTGTATTTTAAGAAGCCTGGGTGTCTTCATGGGTAACTTTTGCAGTGCAGCTGCTGGACCTCTGTGTAGCAAGGACAAGAGCACCCAGAGAAAGGTATACCTACGCTGCTAGGAGCAGGAACTCTACCAGCCATAATCACAGAATCACAGAATTGTAGGGGTTGGAAGGGACCTCCAGAGATCATCGAGTCCAACCCCCTGCCAAAGCAGATAATGTTCTGCAGTCAGGCATTTCCACAAACCCAAGGCTAATTCACAGGATACAGGGCTGAAGAGATACCCCTTGCTCTTGTATTGGGCTCAGTAAAGCCACGGGAATGGCTGAACTGCATTAGCACATTTGCTATCTGAAGCTTAGTACACAAGCAGAAAAAGAATTTGTTCCTCCAGCATTTTCAAGGCTCTGTATTAGAAACAAAAGCCACAACCCCTGCTAGGAGAAATAAAGAAGAACAGATGAGAGAATGACTAATGGGACTGACAGGAATAAATTCCACCGGTTTGACTGACCACAGCCTTGCACTATAAAACCCTGGGACCTGATGCACAGTAAAGGTATCACAGGACCACAGGCCATGTAATGGAAATCATTTAAATTTCAATATTTCACCTGGTTGCGCAGACAAGGCCTGTGGAGTGTGTCATTTCAGCTGAAATATTTATTGAGGCTGCCCACTGGTTTATACAGCAGGAGTTTAAAGGTTAAGAATTCAACTCTCCAATTCTGAAACTGGGAAGAAACAAATGCTGGAGAAACGAGATACTCAACAGCCTATGAGAAAGTAATGGAAAATTCATTGCTTTCAGTCACTTACAGCACTTGCTATGCAGAAATGGACTGAAACCTTCAGTTTTGCTCGGAGGCTTATGTCATCTCCAATCTTCCCAGGGAGACTCAAGCATGGTTTATCACAGCAATTTGCATGTAGATGAATGACATCTCTGCTTTCAGTGATTGCATTTCTGAAATTTGGTTTTCACTAGCTCAAAGAAAACAGCTTCAAAGGGGGAAATGTAACTTCCTTAAAAACCCTTGTGCTCTAAACAACTGCACTCAGTCTAACCTGTTTTAAAAAAGAAAAATTAAGGTGCCAGCAGATAAATCAGAGCACCACAGATTTGCATTTTCAACTGCCAATGAAGCAACTGGAGAATTTTGTTTACTGTGTCATCAGCTAGAAACGGCACAGGCCCATGCAGAACCAAGTTTTGAATGCAGGTTTTTTATTTTTCCTCAAATACCTTGGGTCTGTCAGGGAGAAACTATTTAGAAATCCCTTCAAAGTGTTGTCCAGGAAACTCACCCTGCATAGCATTGTTCATAATCCACTCCTCCAGATGTTCTTCTCACTTTCCTAAACACACTGTTGTAAAAGCCCAAGGCCCAGTGGCTTAAGACAGTACTCTGTATCTCGTAAGGAGGTTACTGATGTGGTACATCAACCAAAAAGGATACATTCTTATTTTATTCACTTGGTTCATCTAGAAAGCCAGCTTACCTTCTGATGAATACTGACTGTAGATTGCAAATAAAATACAGAAGCCAGAGAGCACGAATTCCTGAAATAATGATCACCATTCTGCCGTTTGCTTCATTAAATATTTTAAAAGATAAGTTTTACATGTTTTCAGCCAGCTAAAGGTTTCTTGCTTTTTTTCTTCTCTGTTCTGCTGCACTGACGAACAACAAAATATCCACAGCTGTCCAGAACCAAGCAGGACTTTGCAGGCTGATTTGGATGTACCAGAATATCGAATTGCATCATGCTCTCCTGTGCAGCAAGTTCTCCATATTCAGAAGCATCAACTAATGACAGGTCCAAGATTAGTTAAATGGAACCAGATGCCAGAAACTCCAACCATAGCTTAAATAAAGCAGTCAGTGCCACAGAGGCCACCGATGCTCACTGAGCTCCTTTCTCTCTTCAGTGATTATGTTGGTTTTTTCACCAACCAAACACTAAAACCATGCTGTGGTTATATTGTGACACTGGAGACATACTATGCCATAGCCTGCTAATGACTGGTTCATAGCCTACAGATTAACTTACTCAGAGACATATCAGAATGGCAGCATTCAGTATTTAGTAATCAAGAGATTACATGGGTCACATTCTGAAATCCCATCAATATTTGTAAAAGCATGTTGAGCAAAACACACCATGTTCTTAACTGACCCATTCCCAACACCCTCTTTCCCAAAGTAGCTTTTTTCACCCAAATAGTCCACATAACTTCACTTGGAAGTTTATCCACCAACTCTGTATTCTAGAAGACAAAATAGAAGATATTAATTGTATAAAAGGTAAATAGCTGTGGTGCTGTCTGTTGAAAGCACAGACAAACACTGTTCCAAGTGTTTCCAGTTACCATGAGAATTGAGGCTCTACTACACACAGCTGATTTATAGCTGTAGTTCACATGATAAAGACAGACCAACATATTTACAATACCAGAAGCTGGAAAACATATTTAAAACAAAGCTTGAAAAACAGCACTGTAGAAACACCAGCTGCTGATCTGCTACTACACTCTAGAAGTGGAGGAGTATTGCTTTAGCAACAACAAGCTACAAGAACTTGGTGTCAGAGACAGCCTCCTCTGGAGCACTGGTTCTCCTCTGGCTCCGGTTTCTCATGGGGTTCCAGCTGTGAAGCCTCCTCTGTTACCCTGCTGCTCTCAAATTACTCCCTCCTTTATCTGAGCCTGATAAAATACAATTAAATGCGTTTGTCTGCCAAAGGCTCAGATTTAAGAAAATTACAGATAAACGAGAATAACATTTGATGTGTGAGAATTGAGCTTAAGTCAAGATTGCAGAAAACACGAGCAGAGCTGAGATCTAAAATTTTGTTAAAACGCACCTAAAATTTGGGAAAGCAAATTCAGGAAAACATGCTAACATTTTTAAAGATCCCTTTTTCAAAGTAGACATTCATTTTGAAGAAGAACTGGAGCGAGCTGGCATCTCAGGCCTCAGGGTAAGATGTGCCATGCTCAGATTGCAAGAGCTCACGCCTGATTCACCTCCAAAATTAAAATTCAGTCCTCAGAGGTGGAAAGTTTGTAAGCTTCTATTCCTCCATGTTAAAACAATCTTGTATTTATTTATTTATTTATTTTTAAACAGAATTTTACTGCTACAAAAACTTGACTCCAACTCAACTTTCAGCAGCTTCCTCAAGATACACCGGGACCTTGATCAACTAAATGCTGACCCATTATCATAGCAGTCGATTACCTCTCTCGGCACAACAAAGCAGAGCAGGTTATTGTGTTCCTGACGGGACTTAGTAAAAGAGCTGTTGGAGTTGCATTACATTATTCAGCTGTGTTACCCAAGAGCCAACACCACTATTAAGAACAGGAGTGTTGCAACAGAGCTATACACTCAGAGACTTTCAGAGAGTTGGTGACAGCAAAAGAAAAGCATTCCATAATTTGGTTTTGGGGAATGGTTTTACATCAGTCGCATTCCCAAGAGTCTTTTCCGCTTAGACAGTGTTTTTTAAGGTGCTTCTCTATTTCTAAAGATTTTTCTTTATTAGGTACTGCTAACATGACATCCTGACCCGTCCCCAAAACTGGGCCAGCATTCATCCCCAGGGCCCAGAATAATGTTGATTTCTGATTCTGCTATCAGAAAGCAGCTCTAAAACAAACAACCTGACTGCACACCTGCATCACCCCCCACCTCATCAGTCTGGGAAACAAACCCCTCAAGGCAGTATTAACTTCTTACCTGTTCAGTTTCATGAAGCATTTACAACAAAAATCCAGCTTAAACACAGTAACTGCAGAACGTACCATACAGGACTGGAGCATGCAATAGCAAACTAATCACGCTTCAGACTCTTCTGAAGTTTCCAAATAACTTTAATTGAAACTGCATTACGGAACCAAATTTACTCCAACAATAAATTGTTAAAAGCTGGTTTCAATCCTGAACATCTCTTGTGGCATAAAGCATAGGAGTAAAGTTAAATAAAGCACATCCTCTCCTGTATCCTCTATGGTAGTCCTCTGCTGCATATTTGTATTTAGGCTCATTCAGTCCATGAAGTACAGCATGTTTCCCTCCAAGGAGTTCAAATGCTGAAAACCCACAAAAGAAAAATAACACCTGGAATGTCATCCTTCTACTCAGGGGCTTTTTGCAAAGGGCATTTTATCCAATAGCAGAAAATGGTATAGCTGTGTTCACACCCATGTGGACATTAAAGATCAGCAAACAAGATGACACAGGGAGCAGCCTATTATATTATTGAAAACTTGGGATTCTCCTCTTTATTTACCTTCGTCATATCCCTGCCTTTAAATCTTTTTCCAGAAGGCTGGCCAGCATTTCTGGGGTAGTCAATCCCATTTACTGCACTTGCTATCCACACTATGTTTCAACTGAACAAATTCATTTCAGTTTCATCCATTATAGGGCTCAACTGCATCTCATAAAACTGCAGTAGATTTAACTCCAACCCAACTTACTACCTACTAATTAATATACCTTTTAGGTCACACTGATTCTAAAACAGTAATGAAGGTCACAAACTTACCAGACACTATTTTTGTTAGTGCTGAGATATTTTGTGCCACATTGGGAAGAAAGGGACTTCCAAATGCTTGAAAACAGGGACAGGAGTAAAATAATGGGTTTTCTCCAGTTCACATTAAAACAACTTAACAGTCATAAACTGTGAGAGAATTAGAGTGTCTCAGCCCCTTGAGAACTGACAGAAGGGGTCACAGGTCCAGCTTTTGCTGTTCCTGGGAATGTCTGCCCATGCTCAAATACACAATCTGTTGAGAAGATTCATGTGTGGAAGGCACACAGGGCAATCCTCAGAAATACTGTTGGTTTTTTTTGTTGTTGTTGTTCCTTTTTTTTTTTTTTTCCCCTGGAGTACTTAAACTATTTGAAAAGACAACATTAGAGTGAACTTAGTTATAAGAAAGCTGAGTGGCAGAATTCAAACTTTGGACATGTTCCAGAGTGTTTCTCGCTGCATCTTTTCATTAAATCCTTTATTTACATTGAATAATGGAAAAGAGACTGTATATCCTGTATTTCCCCATATGAGTCACACCTCATTATCAGTGGGACTGAGCAGGCACTGCCTTTGCTGTGGGCCAGGACATCAGGGTGAAGGATAATGCTGTGCATAGGAACCCCACCCAAGGTCATGAAGGGCCTGGAAGATGCGAAGGAAGAAAAGATGTTTGTATAGTAGAGGCAGCCTGAAGGTGAGGGAGAAAGGTAGGTGCTACAGCAGCCTCTAACCTAGAACTCCCATATAATCCCCATGTGAATTTTGACTGTTTATAGGTACCTGATGTGTGCTTGCTGGGCTCTGGCTTGAAATACCCACGGCCCCTGGGCAGAAGCCTTGACCGTACATAGCTGCTACAAAAGTGCACAATAGGAACACTATCCCCAATGTTCCATGCTAAGCGTCCCATGACCTTTTTAGCTGGGCACTCTAAGTTAGCTGACTGCTGACAATTTTGACTCATCTTTGTATCATAAAAACATACACATGCAGAGCATTCAGATGTTTCCATGCCACCACTCTTTATAAACCCAAGAGGAGATAGTAAGGTCCCATTCTGTATTACATTTCAGCATAGCACAGTAAATAGAATAAGACTGCACAGATGTATAAAAGACACTGAAAACAGCCCATGCTCCCTTGAATAAGCAATGATTCAATTATCTTAAGGTCGGGCAGGTGGTGCAGGATCTTGTAATTGGAGCCTATCAAGTTGCATAAAGACAGAGGATGGAATTCACACTCCGTATAGCCGTAAGTACCTCTTTTACATAACTTATTTCACCATCTCGGATCCTTTTTGCTGTTTAACAATAATGATTTTAATTTACAATACATTATGCAGTAATAAACAACAACTAATCTAAGCAGCAGCCATAATGCTATGCATAGCGATGTGGTGCTCATTCAAAAATTCACTATAGGAAAAAGCGTAGTGAATGTAAGAGAAATGACAATAAGTAACATCGTGTTGCTTCAAATAAAAAGGGTCAGCCATGGGTTGGACTTTTCTTAGAAAAGTTGTTTTTTAGTGAAAGAGCACGCAGGGATTGGCTACCAATAATTCACTGTTAGCACAAAGGGATACACAGAGCAAGGCTTTGGCTTGGACATCTCTACTTGGTACTTTCACTAACGGATGGATTGATGCAATAGGTGTACCTATGAATACATTTTTACAAACAGTTGCAAGGAGCATGAACAATGGGAATACAATTCAAAACATTATCTACAAAAGAAACATTCTGGGGGAAAAAAATCCTACCAGGATGTAAGAAAACTTCTGAAAATATCATTCCGTACACAGAGAAGATGGGAAACAGCTGCTTAGGTAGCAGTTATGCACTACTCTGCCTTGGTGAGCCCCAGCTGGAGGCTTCTGTTCTGTTTTGGGCATGACAACATTTGAAAAGCATGTGGACAAATGAGAGAAAGTCCAGAGGACGGCAGCAAGAATGAGTAAATATCTCAGGAAATAAGACCAAAGCAGAAAGATGCAGAGGCATGGTGTTTAGTCTACAGATAGAAAAGCTAAGGGAAGGCATGGTAACAGTCAAATACAGGAAAAGATCATGAAAGACAAGAGGATGATTTGTTGATAGGATAAGAGAGAAGCTTGAAACGTAGAAGGCATGATCTACGTTAATAAAGAATTTTCAGTGGAAGCATTTCAAACCACCAGAATCAATTACTAAGTGAGCTGAGGCAGTAACAATAACCAGAAGTCTTTGAGAATGAAGTTAACAAGCCTGTCAAGAATGATTTGATCTGTCCTGGGGCAGGAGTCAGACAAAATGGCCTATCCTTAATTACAATCACTCCATTCGGATTCTTCTGCAAGTGTATTCTGCCACACTGCTCTAAATGTGAAGGCAGCACACAATCAACCTAACGTACCATATCCTGGTTGTTACCTGTCTGTGTCATAACCAGGTTTTTTCCTACTATTTTCTAATTGCTCTTTTGCTCACAAGTAAGGCACTAGGTACCCAGAGACAAGGAAAACATCTTTCAGGCTACTGTAAAAGACCAGTAGGCTGATACCAAGCAGCCTATTCTGAATTATTTGTTGATTGATTACATTATTTGGCCAGAAGAAAATGCTTACATTTTAAAATTTCTACAGCAGGTCAGAGGTCACTTAAGCAGCAAATGCATTCCAGTTAGTCCATTGGTAAAATAAGTCAAGAACAAAAAAGAACAAACCTGAACTTACAAAGAAATGAAGTGGTTGCAATTTAAACTGTCCAAAACTAGAGACGTGACCCCCGGGAGAGCAAAGACTACAGAGCAGAAAGCTTTAAAACCTAAAGAGAAGCTCATCCATGAAGTTGCACTAAACACAGTCCTGCATCACCTAGCTTGTAATATGAAGTGATCTGAAACTTCACAAAGAAGCCTGTCATTGTGTAAATCCATCTCTCACAGATTGTTGCCCATGGTTAGATTCAGTTAATATATTATTTATAGAATCCCACCACAAACAGTGTATTTTGGTAGGATAGTAAAGATAGGCAACAGCTGCACAGAAACCTGAATTTTGAAAGATGTGTTTGAGATGCACCACCTGGAGGTGCTTGTGAGAGTAAAGCTGTTTTAATCTCTTCCAAGACTAAACCAAAATGAGATCAGCTTTAAGTATTTTTATGAAATACTTTTTCCCCCGTCTCTAGTTAGTAAGAACATCGTATTTCAGCTCAGTAAAGTCTAGAAACTATGTTTCATTCCCATGGCACACCCTGCTGGTTCCTGGAGAAACTATAGGGGGCTCACCAGGTCAACAGGCTGCTGCTGCTGCTCCTTCTCTCCCATGCTGTATGTCACAGTCTCACCATTTGCAAAATAAACAATCCTTGGAGATTTTGCTCCATCAGAAACTTCACTGTCCTCCTCATTCTTCTGGAAAGTAGTATCCTCCTCCTGCTCAACAAACAGTATCTACTGGGAGCATGGCTCTAGTGCAGTACATACTGAGGGTACAAGTCTATTCTCAAACAACAAAAAACTCTGCATCACAGAGAAAGGTCAGAATCTCAGGAAATGTAATTTCAGGACAGTGGAAGGTTGACACACAGTAGCTCGCAGGTGTCACTCAAGACCTTACCATTTAAGAACATTACATATTAAATGCATTTATTTATTTTCCTTTCCTGGTTGTCTAAGGGAGTTGAACAGGAGAAACCTCAGTAAGGACTGCTGAAGTTCTGCAGTTCCACCTTGGTTCATATCAAAACCGGGAAATCCTTATGAGTAATTTACAGCATCATTTTGTTCTCTTAAACACTTGGTGCACTTACTCTGGTGTCGTGTCGTTAACTCTTTATATTTCTCTTGCTGTAAGCCAGCTAGGGAGAAGTATATTTTTCAGTGTTTATACATGCAACTTGTTTACTGGATGAGAGCTGGAAGAATACAAAAAGTATAACAGCAAACAAATTAGTGAAGTTAACACTGCTGTGCTTTACAAGAGTAACGTCCCAAATCTCTTCTTGGCAGAAGTTCAGTGTGGAGTTACCTTCTGAAGCTTCAAGAGCTGTAAAGGTTCCAGCAGACACATTTTGGAAAAATATTTGACATCAGTGAATCAAAAAGGAAGCTCACCTGTAGGAATTTACTGGGGACTTCTCATGACATGAAAATAGATGCAAAAGAGGAGTGTTATGCACGATAAACAAACAACTGGCACTAGAATCTGTGTGTTTAGTGATTTTGCAGAGAATCCATTCCGTTCAGACAGACCTGCCTTGTAGCATTAGCAGCAACGCAGGGCCAGTGGGAAATCAGGAAACCCAACCCCAAAGCTACAGGATGCATGGACTGCTTGTATTTGAACTGTGGGTGGGTTCTGGCTATTTGCAAACTTTGTATTAGATTCAAAACAGCTAAAAGAGAAACCAGAGCAAGAAGAAGAGAGAAATAATAAAGCACAAAACATGCGCGTGTCAATTGCTACTGCTGAGGCAAGCATTAAAAAAGACAGTTGCAGGCTTTCTGCTTTACATAGCAGTCAGCATCTAATTCCCTCAGGCTACTTCTTTCTTCTAGAAACCCAGCTAAACCCTCAGGGGCTGGAAGGCACCAGTACGTGTTTACAGAGAACTAAAACAGCCAGCTGATTCTCTGAAAATAATACATTTGTTACTCATTCATTTGCCACCTGCTGGCAATGTAGTGAAGTGTCCAGCAATCCACATAGCACTGAAGTCCCTGACCAGAGGATACAGAATGTCCTGCACTCTCACAGGACTTGGTAAGCACTAGGACTTCATACAGGCTCACAGAATCGTGCTTAAATACTAAAAACAAACAAACAAAAACAACCAAACAGCCATGAGGTGCTTCATTATAATTACAATTTCTCTATGCACTCAATTCACGTTACTCCCCTGTGGCCATACTACAGAACCAAAGTATTCTCTATATAATTATTACATTCATATCGAATTCAAGTGACATTCAAAATAGATGCTGCTTCTTGCTACTATACTTAGTGTTCTGAGTGGTAAAACAAAACACATTCAGGTTGTTTAAATATTCTGAAACTTGAGGTTACATACAAATTTACAAATCATGAAGCTGAAGATGGCATGGTGACTGTCTTCATAAAATAATGCTGCTTGGTTCAGTCTCATCAGAACTGGTTCTGATGAACTGAGGTTTGATCACAGTACAGGTTTGTTTCCTATAGACTGAAATTCACAAGGGCCCAACCACCAAAGGAGGTAGGCCTTCCTACATCAATAGCTGATCCAGGGGCTCCTCAGCTGCTAGGTAACATTTGTTCAACTTCAGAGCATTACCAGAAGAAAAAGACTTGAGTAAATTCAACCACCACTGCAGAAAAGCCTACATTTTGCACACTCTAAATCTAGAAACAGATATCCACTACGAGGACCATCTGACAACACCAGCTGCTACTGCTGTGATAACACAATGACCCTTAAATATGGGTTTCAGTTTATTTTTTCAGGGATAAGTAATATACACAAACAGGAGTTAAGTTAATGTTGGAACCTCAAGGTAGATAGGAGTTAGATAGTAGGTGCAGGGGACAAGGCGTAATGATGTATCAGCCCTCAGCCAATATAGAGAAACTTTCAGCTACTCTGAATTCACATGGAACACAGAGGGATTACTGCCTCCTCTTGTGTTCCCTGAATACTGAAGACAGAGATAAGCTTCATGAGTTTATTTTACACATAGACAATTAAAAATACATTTTAGTAATGCTTCTCATAAAAATCGTATCCATAGCACAGTAGTGAAATCAGTGCAACCAAATCAAAAGGACAGGAAGGAATATTTACAATCATATGGTATTGTACTAAAATTGTAAGATCAGAAATTCTAAAGTGCAAAGGTGACTATATCCTACGCAGATACAGGTATCTGTTTTCTTGCTTATACTATGAACCAGCATTATCATTACAGACACACCACTTATTCATGCTGAACCATCAGGTGATCAAATATTATCCCTAGGCTGACAGGCAAAACTTCTCTATTGAAGGGAGTTGGGCATCAGCATCCAAGGGCCAAATGCAGTCCCCTAGTTCCAGGAACCTCCACCCAGTATGTGAGACTAACTACTCTCAACCCAGAAACATGGAACATGGAAGAAGTGTATCAGAGATATTTAGATATAAATCTTACAAATAGCTCAATAGTTTGATTTATACAAGATTAAAGACAATCAATACATTTTAAAAGAATGAAGTAGAGGGCCCAGCACTCAGTATTTTATTCAGTTGCAGTTTTGTCCTATCTCAGACCGAGCACAAGTTTATAAAGACTATTTACACCAACACCATTTGAAGGTTTAATCAGCAGAGCTTCTAAACCAGAGAGAGGCCACACAAGCAGGCTCTTACAGCAAAAGAATACTAAAAGGTCATCTCTCAAAATACCTCACTCTTAAAAATTACAAAAGGAAATCGTAATTGAAGGAACACAGCTGCTAAGTTTCTGAATTTCCCAAACTCTCAGTCAATTCACCTGTATTCTTGAGCACATTCAACAGGCAATCTATATATTATTTACAGTAATTCTTGCCACCATCCAACAAAACCAAAGGGAAAACTGCTCACCAGCTGGCCACACTCTATACTTTGCACACTAAGCAGTCTCCAGTTCCTTATTCTTGGGCAAAACTATCCAAAGTTCACCATAGGATTTTAACTACGAGTAAACAAAGTTTGTCTTGAAAAGCAACACATGTTAAGTGACTTAGTTTGTTCCATTAGTCTATTTTTAAGCTACTACATCATATTTACCGAAACAGCTATGGCATAAGAAGTTTCATGGCTAGGCTTAAGTAATGCCATCATCTGACACAACCCACTTGCTTATGCTCTGAACTATTTACAACGAGCTTGATTCAAACAAACCACTTGGTTGAAGAAAACGTCCAGGGAATTAAGAATTACAAGTCCTTAAAATAATCTTCCCTAAGCAGTTGTTTGGGAATGATTTAGTCATGATTTGTTCAAGATATTCATACACTGAAATACACCCATGGTCAAAGCCTCACTGGAAACGAGTCCTGGCATCTACATGTGCATTAGCAGACAAAGGTAAGTCTGTGCCACAGAGCGTAGCAGATGGAGAGGGAGGGGAGAAGGAAAAAAATGGAATACAGTCTGTCTAAAAAGAAAACTGATTGGGCTGGGAGATATAAATATTGACACACAGAGACCTCTTAAGAACAATGAGCAACTACAAAAATTCACGATTTTGAAATGGAGTTTACTGCATCTTGATCCTTAAAGGGAGCAGGCTAAGCAAATGCAGATGACTACAGCTGTAATAAGCTTTGTAGAAGGATTAAAAATCTGTTCTGGCAAAATAGCTCCACACTCCATTTTGGCAAAATTTAAGCTGGTTTTTTTTTTTTTTTTAACAATGCAAGACATCTAAAAACTTAGCCAATCAAGTTACAAACAGATTACTTTCTGTTACAAACAGATCTGAATAACTCTTCATAAAATATACCCCAACTAATTCTGCAGCATTAGAAGGAAATGGACCTATTTTGGACGTAAATTCTTCTTGATGGTTACTATTCTCTACCCACATAAGTCCTTAAAGATATGAAACTTCTTCCAAAGCAGCAACTCAGTTAATTTTATGATTATTTTTGTGCACAGACCTGGCTAAAAGAAAAATCCATCAACAGAAGGTGCAAATTCTGCATTTGATTCACCACCATAGCCAATATTAGATCCTCTTTGCCTTTACAGCAGTGAATTCTGCACTTTGGTCCATTACCATGGGAAGAGTCTTGGGGCTCACACTAACCTTATCAAAAGGTTTTAGATCCATAGGCCATCAAGGAGCTGTGCTCCAGCTCTACAAACTAAGCTTCACTGGTCCAATGGAATGTTGAAAATAAAAAAAAAAAATACTGAATTATACCACAGTGGAAAGAGAACCAATCCAGACAGTGCGATGCAAAGAACATTTTTACAGCACACGTCGTGTTAAGTGCACATGCCATCATGTTTTCCTGAAACGGGAACATTCTCAAGCTCAATTTCCTTCTCAGGTAGAGTGAAATGCAGTAACTAGTATCTAGAGACTGCAAGGCTCTCACTTCAATACATGCACTGTATTTTTTTTTTCCTCTTACAACAAATTGGAAAGTTTTGTTGACATGGGTGGTGTTGAGTGCTCAGTACTAAAGAATGCTATCACATTTTCCACAGTAAGCAGATACAGAAAAAGCAAGTTCTGCAAAATACTTTCTCAGTCTTGACTGAGCTTGGCTTTCAGCAAAATCTCTTCAAAAGGAGCTGATTTCAGTGCACTGCCACAAAAACTGACATACAGCACTGTTTTCACACAGCATAAAGGAAATCTAGAGCTTGGTTTCCCAGCTGTTCTTTCAGCAATTCACCTAATCTGACCTGTTATCTTAACAGCTTCTTTTAGACATTACCTGAATGGAAACACACCATCTTAGTTACCATTCTACTACCTTATGCATTACAGCTTCATAAATTCAAACTGAGCTTTTCTAGTGTCAGGAGATTTCAAATATCTGCAGCTTTCAAAGTTACCAGCACTTTAAAAATTCAAAAGTTATGAATGTATGATGTTGCAATGCATCACTTTCAAGTATTTACTTATTACTTGCTGCATTACTTTCACGTACAATGTGATAATAAAGGATTTTAATTTAAGGACAGACAAGCTAAAGTGCCTCACCACAAATTCTTATACAAGAACCTTAATCTAGAAAGGAAAGAACAGAGGCTCATAGTTTCAGAAGAATATACATTGTGCTCCAATTATGCAAAACTTCAGGTTTTCCAAGTCCTGTGAAATACCACCGGAGCGTTAAATACAAACCTATATTTTCTTCACTCACTGCAATTAAGTAAATTATAACATGGCAAGATGCTAAGCCTGTATGAAAAACCTGAATAAATATAACTGCTCTTGCAAACTTCTGTTTGCAGATTGTGACATTATACAGCATATACTTTAATGGAAAATCCTCAAGCATTACAATCGTGATATTTCCTTTGCTACTTGTGGATAGAAACCCACAAAAAGAAACTCTCTAGAGGCACAATAGGAACATTTAAGCCCATTCATTCTATGATACCCCACTAAAGCAAAAAAAAAAAGTCAGATATAAATAAACTGCTAGAAATGCGTCACATTCTTAAGCAAGATAGATGCATACTAACAAAAGTAAACCATATTAGTCTTCTAAATTAAAAAAGAAGAACCAGAAAAAGGGAGATCAGGAATAAAAGCCCCAGAGTCCAATTAATACAGTTTTAAAGTGAATTCAAAGCACCTATGGCACTTAAGAAATCTGGCATCCACTGTCTTTTTGAGGCTTTATATCTGGTTCCTTCAGAGGCTTTACTTCTTCATCTGGTTTTGGTTTAGCCTGCAAACAAGAAAAAGAAAAACCACAAGTACAAACCGCTGGGTCTCCACAGCATTCAAGCAGCACCAACTTACACACCCTCATCTAACAGCTCTCCCTCTTTTTAAGGCTAAAGACTTTGAGCAAAGACAAGGGAAGAAAACCAAATACTGATTGTTTCAGCATCTTTCAATGAATCATTTTCTTAAAAGGATCACTCTATAGCATTCTCTGCCATATTATCTCAGCATCTTACATACATTAGAGAATTTCTTTTCATTCAGAACTTCAAAAAACATAACCCCTATTCTCCAGTAGCCGGTAGTGTGGCAGAGGGATTAACCAACTCGCCTCCTTGCACAGGGGAAACTCATAAGCTCAGGTGGTAGCCATGCATCTAAGTCTTTTCCTACTGAGGTGGGAAACATTATACAAGACTAAAATAGTAATTTATTATAGACAAAATAAAGATAATGGGAAAAAATATATATATAAGATTATCTTACAGTGTCATCCTTTGGTCTCTTGGTGAGATCAAATGCAGCAAGTGTTTCAGGAGTCCAGTGTGCATTCAAGGCAGGAAATTCAAAAGGAACAGGCTCTACTAAGCCATAGTTTGCTTTCAATTCCAGCTGGGGAGCCTCTGCAGGCACCTTCTGAAAATAGCTGTAATAGAATACAGCAACATATTGAAAACAACACATTCTCTCTGAAAGTTTCATTTGCAATACTAAAGAAAAACAATTCAGGTTTTCACAGCACTACACTCATTCTGTTTCATGAAGGCATCATCCAGCATGCACTGTCAGCAAGATTTGCAACAAAAGCAATTCCTTCTTGGTATTGTTCATCCCCAAAGAGCCAGGTGGGTTCTTTCCTTCTTCGCACCCATCATTCCCAGCACTTCAATGAGAAGAGCATCTTTCATCCAGAAAGATGTTAAAAAAATCTGAAAATATTTCCCAAGAAAAACGAAGGCAGCAGCTCTTTTTCTCCACTACTGCAAGACCAACCCTAGTGTGCTACACTGCATATTAGCAGCAACACTGCAACACCCACAAAGACTTGACAGAATGCAAAGCCTGAATGAGGGTATAAAACTACCCACAGAAAACTAATAATAGCTGAAAACTGACCATCACTGCTATGTGCTACCTCAGTTCCTGTGCTGTGGCAGGCTCTGTGGCAGGTATATCACCCCCAACAGCTCCTGAGTATCTAGTTTCCTTTCCTATTTGCAGTTCAGTTTGGCACATTTGACAATCCTTTTTGGTTAGTCAATTCTCCTACCACACTGGTGTTCAAATACTGTGAAAAGGGGAATGAGCCAGCTGTAGAATACTATATTTATAAGAGGAGAGAAAGGGAGAAAGAAGTCATCAAGATAATTCTAAAGCCAAACTAATCCTACTATTTTAAACCATTACCAAAATCTTTCTTGAAAGGAGCGTGAGCTCACAGAGTTTTACTGATGGTATTAATTAGACTTCTCAAGCTCCTAATACCTGAAGTATACTCCTCATGGAAGGCAGGGCTGTTTCATCTTCCCACTAGCAAATCAGAATCAGACACCAGTCTCATCAATTTCCCCTCTGTTCTCTTCTGTCTACTAGATCCCATCACCAGGGAAGAGGGCACTAAAGCAACACAGCAACTGCACAGGACCTTCTCCTGTGCAGAAGGAAAAGGAACGAAGTGGCTGTGGAACAAAGGAAGGAAACAGCTTAACCTTGCCAGTATGTCAGTCCAACCTACACAGCCAGAGTGGTAGCACAGACCCACATAGTCTGGAAGGAGGAAAAAAAAAAAATAAATCAAAGAAAACTGCAATTCTGCAAGTTACATCTTACACTCTATCACAGTATAAGTATTGGGAAATAACATTTACTATTGTATCCTGAAGAACATCAGCAAAAAACAGCAGATAAGATATTAACAGGCCGTACAGAGTACTGCACCAATCCCAAATTACTTACATGAATCCATTCTCTCTCTGGCATTTTTCAAGTGTGTTCTTAATCAAAGTTCCTAACTTCCTAAAGAAGAGATGTCCAGAAGGTTTGGCAGTAGTCCCAGGTCCTTTGGTTTCTCCATACTCTTTGCACAGTGCCTCAGCCTTAGCAAAAACTGAGCAAGAAAGAAATGTAATAAAAATCAGTTACACAAGTCTGTTAAATGACAGTTCTGATCTGCACTGCTTGAGCTTTAAGAAACACCAGACTCCATTCAGTCTTCTTGCTTCTCAGAAACAAAAATAAACTAAAAGGCAGCACTTCCAGCCAAGATTTACTGCATCCAAAAAATGACTAAGAACAGAAAAGAAAAAAAAAAAAAAAAAAGTTTTTTGAGTAAAGAGAAGCAGGGAAATATTCTTACTTTTGGGGCAAAATGTGACAGTAAGCTTGAAAACTGTGCAACATCGTAGAGAACAAGGATAGGAAGGTATCCATACAGAGCAGACATTAAAAAATAAACAATACTTAATATGGAGTTGGAAAAGAAGCACTCTTCTCTGAACAGCAGGCACAATAAAAAACTCAGTATCTGTTTTACCACAAGTAATCCAATTTAGCTTGTTCTTACTCTACTTTTTTGACTATTTTTAAAAGTTTTTATTGGTTTATTTGAGCATTTTTACACGTTGTGGTAAAGTTAAGCAGTGCAGGCCACTGGGATACAAAAGAAAAAGCCACCTGCTCTACATGATACAGTACAAAAAGTATCTCTGAATTTGTATGCTGGATTTTAGCCAGGTAAAAGATAAAAGCTTAAGTTTATAAGAAAGAAAACACCCCACAATATAGAAAAATAAAGGGGACATGCTATCAGATCCTATAATCCAGTCTCAGTCAACTTACATTTTTCTGATTCTTGAAGAGATCTAATTGCTTCTCCACACTTATCACTGGCCAGTAAAGTTTGACCATGGTAGCAGTAAGCCTAATGAGAGAGGACAAAATTGTTATCAGCGTCACCAGGCACTTCCCATATCAATTCACTTCTGTCCTTACTTACATCAAGTTGGCTGTCTTTGAAGCTGCCATTCCCTGCAGACAGCTGACAATTTGGGAATGTAAGGCAAAGCAGCACTCACTAATGAGTAAGTACATTTACTTTGACTAACTGTATAACCAAAGAATATTAGGATGTTACAATCACAAAATAAACGAGTTAGATAGACTATGATAACAAAAGAGAATAAATGGAAGGCTTACCCCTATCCTGGGCTCACTCACAAAACTCCAGCAGAGGCAAACTCCAGACAAGAGCCTTCCCCACTGGCAGCCAGCTCTTAAATAGGTCTAGGAGGGCTGGAGCCAGGCTCAACCCCTTCTGGCAGCACAGGTGATTTGCCTTCACCTGTGCTCCTCTGGCTGACTCATGGCTCACCTCAGGTGATCAATCAGAGGTTCAGGCCGTGACTCAGCAGTTCCCATACAACTAACACAATTCAACACAAACTCTTGAGCTGGGTCTAAAGCAAGATGTCTCAAGTCTGGCCAGGAGAACCCTGGAGCTTCATAGAAGCTTTCAAACCACAAATAGTGTACAGTCTAATTCAAATCTCCGTTTCACTGTGTCAGTATGCAGCATTAAACCCCATACGTGAGTGAGAGGGAACTCCAGTAAGTTTACAAAGACTCTCAAAACTTTTGATTCCAACTCTGCAACCAGATCATGTGCTGTGACATGCTACAGGAAATCACCAGCACATTGAGCAGCTGATGATCTCAGTGCTACTATACTAACAGATCAGGCATGTCAAAAAGGACAGTACTTGGAATGGCACTTCACATTTGATGCAGTTTCCCTCAGGACTTTCAGAAAAGATAAGCAGCTCTGAATTATGCCTAGAATCAGATTTTGATACATATAATGGAAAACTAATACTACACTCAATCTGATCTGCTTCAAATGTCACAATAAACTCCACAGTGAGGAAATTTCACCTGGCTCAGCAAAAACACTTTAAATGCGACCAACACTGCATAGTGTCTCTTCACAGCATGGAAATAAAGTCAAGGCAATATGCAAATCCCACTCTCAATCCAGCCCACAGACAACATTAAAAACGTGAATTACATCAACAAAATACTTACGTAAGCCATATAGAAACAGGACTTCAAGTTTAAGTACTTCCTCCATTTACCTGCATAGGTTGGATCCAAACTGGATAATGTTTGATCTGAAAATATGCATGTAAAGTTGTAGTTTGAAACATTTTCAAAAAGGAAATACCCCCTAGCCCTACTCAGAGATCAGAACTCAAACTTAGCAACAGACCTTAAACTACAAAGTGGCTGGAAATCAACGACATAAATTATTCCTGCAGAAGCACAGAGAAGCTACGAGAAAAACAGAAGCATGCAGTTTACTGAGCTATCATGCAGTTATTCCTAGAATCCCTGAAAGAGCTGCCCACTGAGCTTGGAAAGTTAATTTTACTAAGAATCTTTAGGCAGCACTTCAAAGTTGGCTCCTAGGTCAATTTCACAAAGTGACCTACAGGTACCTACATACATTACAGTATTCTCCCTCGCATATCAACTCACAGACATTTGCACTTTCGCAATTCGTCCTCACAAAGCCGCAGATCAGCCTGCTCATCTGTGCAGATGTACACAATTAATCCACTACTGGTTTGCCTGCCTGCATCATGCTTCACTGCCCAAAGACAGCTCAACATAGTTCACTTCCCCACCACTAACTACAGAAAAAGATTATGCCAAAAACAAAAGGTCTTAACAGAACGCGTTTGTTACAGCACTACCTGAAGCCATAAAGGCACTAAATAGAAAACTAAATACACGAAGCATATCCACTGAGAAATAGCATTAATTTTGCAATTAACAAGCAGTTGAAGCACATCTGCTGGCAATAACACATACATCCAGTCACTAAGGATACAAAACAAGACACTTACCAGCTTTTTGGTAGAAGTTAGCCGTCTCGTAAGCAAGGGCAGCTATTAGACCTGGATTGTGTTTCAGCTCAATAGCCCGAGCAATTGTCACTGAAAAAGAACCCCACACTATGGTATAAAGACTAATTGAAAACATCACTCCAAGTTAGTGGAGGCATTTAGCATTTAGGAGTTTAAAACTCCTATATGAGCAGAAAACAAATATTATGTTCAAGCTGTAGGATGAAGATGGTCTGTTCAAGAAACAGACCAACAGCAAGCTAATGGGAAAGCTGGAAAAACTGTTAGTCTAAAGACTAAGCAATGAACTGCAAATATTTTAAAGAAAAAGGACAATTTATAAAAAAGGGAATTTATGTCAGGCAAGCACAGAGGAGACTGCATAAAAGATGAGGAAAAAAAAGGGAAGCAATGTTGCACATAAGTTCTTCTAAATTAAATTTGTAGTATCAGACTGATTTGGGACATTTCCTCTATGTTTGTAATTTATGCTTCATTAAAAGCAACCCACCTCACTAAGACAAAGAACTTCAGTAGAAGGAAAAAAAACCAGCACTGCTGCAAAACAGACTTTGCACGACATCACAGAAACCCACAGACAAAGGCTGTCACTTCCCACCCCCGGTAAGCAAGTATATTTGAAGATACCTTCTTGAGCTTCAGCTTGGCACTGGATGATGTAAGAATCTATAAGTCGAGGTTCCAAATCTCTTCCTTTTTCCACAGGTGTGATCAATTTTGGAATATGACATTCCTAAGTAGAAAGCAAGCTTCTAAGTCAGTTTAGGCTCAATAACACCGTTGTCAATGCAAAGCACACCCTCTAATCTTAAAATGATAGAACACGCAGTGAAGGCCCCAAACCACCTGGCTGCACTGTTGCAGGCACTGATGGATACACAGACTGACTACTCTTCCATTGTGAAAAAGGGACTGAGCAACAGCAAAATACATCAACACATTCTCTTCCCTGAATCATCCAGGCAGTCTGAGATATTTGCTTACTCTGTAACCTCATCAGAAAAGCAAAGGCTTTTCTAAAACAAAAAGTACTCAAAGAACTGACAAAGACAGTTTTTTTTTACCTTCAAATGCTTAAAAATCCCAGCTGCTATCTTCAGGCTTCTGTGAACATCTTTTGCTTCATCTTCTGTTATACTAAGAAAGGACAAAACATAGAATGAATCATTGACATTTTAGTTGGAAAGGAACTAAGTGTCATTTAGTGTCACCTCCAGTTTTGGAACAGGATTACAGCCAACAGCTGATGAGGCTTGCTATGGCTTTGTCTAGCTGAATCTTGAAACTTAAATGGAGAGGCCCCTGTAACTTTCCCCAGTGCTGCACTACTCTCATACCAAAGAGCTTTGTATAGTGCTCAGACATTTTTAAAAAAATATCAAATATAACTCACTTGAAAAAGGAACAGAAAGAAAAAGAAATACAGGACATTTAAGTAGAAGGGAGCCTTAGTGTTAAAAGACAAAGCATTAAAAATCTGTGGGGCTGAGAGTCAGCAGAGCAGTGATTTTAAGAATCTGAACTTTGTAGTTAGGAATGTAGAGCAGGAAGGATGAGGGGTTTACACAGAATTGACACTTTCTCTATGCCATAGCCTAATGATATCAATGCTATTTGTCCATCAAAAGAAGAAGGGACTGAAAAGCATTTGATGTTAAAGGCACGCGAATGAAGATTAACAATATCCTTGAACTCCTCCTGTCTCCACCGCACATGAACTATAGCAAAATTCTGAACCTACTGATTTTTGCTGGAATATTGCTGCAATACAATAACTAAGAAAAGAAAAACACTTACTCTTCTTTTCCAGCGAGTCTTGATGCATATTTTGTGTACCACAGAGCTACATTAAAAGCCATGGAAACCAGCTCAAATACTGCATCCTGCTGGGCACTAAAGAGAGAAAAATAAGAGAGAACAACCCCCTCAAACAATTCAACGTTTCCCATTTTGTTCTGACAAACTCTCTCCGCTGATAGTTTTCAGCAGAGGAAGGTATTCCTCTCCACAAGCCAACAATTTCCCATTCAGACATTTCTACTTGCTGAACTGCCCAGAAGACATTTCAGTTTTTTACTTATTCCCCTTAAGAGTTCATAATTTTAACTTCCCATGTTCAGATGCCTACCCATACCACTCAGGAACTTTTATTTTAAAACAGTAACTTGAGATTTGTTTAGTTTTGGGTGTGGCTGACATTTTTTCTTTTTTTTTTTTTTTTTCTTTTTTTAATTGCACATTTTGTGGAAAGCCTTGCTCTGGAATGTCTTCTTTAAAAGTTGTAGCTGCTAAGTCAGAATCTATTATATCTCTCTCCAGTGAATGTTATTGCAAGTATTTATATAACTTCAGTCAACTGGCATGCACAACTGGGAGGAAGTTTCCAAAGCTAAAAAACACAGAATCATAGAATCACAGAACGGTTTGGGACCTTTAAAACCATCTATTTCCAGCCCCCTGCTATAGGCAGGGATACCTCCCTCAAGATCAGGTTGCTCACAGCCCCATCCAGCCTGGTCTTGAATGCCTCCAGGGAGGAAGCATTCAAAACCTCTCTGGGCAACCTGTGCCAGTGTCTCCACCCTCAACATGGCCTTTGAAAAGACTGCAACTTGCAATCCTAAATTCAATGCAGTTTAGGTACTAATCATTAAAGAGAAAGGTGTGAAGGTGAGAAGAGTAATGCTGGCACCAGAACAGATGTTTATATCCATGACAAAACTCTGACCAGCAGACAAGGTAATAGAAGCTTTGAGGAAGTGAAAAAAGCATGACAGATTTGTAAGCATAGTTATACAGCACAATTGCCTATGGTATCAAGAGATGATTGAGTAATCCAGAAGGTTCTCTCTAGACCTACATTCCTACTTAAAACAGCTGCTCTGTTTGCACTAGGAGTATATATACTAGGAGTTTCAGAGGAAAAGAACAGAAGTCAGACCTTGCTCATCATCTGGACATCAATAAAAAAATTTAGAAGACAGTGGTGCCAAATGAAAAAGTTTTAAATTGCAGTAAACCATGCTTTCATACTCAGGTTCCTTTTTGCACTGCGTTAGCCAACTGCAGATTATAGTTTGTTTACAAACTAAAAAACAGTGGGGTACTTTATCATTAACAAGCACTACCATGCCTCTACATAAAGCCAACAGATGCTTCAGAACATCTATCACAGTTTGGCAATTAGAAAAAATGCAAAACAACAAATTGTTGGAAACTACTTTGTGTCCAAAGTTCTGTTACATGTTCAAATTTTAATTCATCTGTGCTGTCATATGTACACACAGGTAGTAGACCAAAAGAAAATAACTGCATACCACGCAACCATAAAAGCATCATACCATGGAACATGTCCCTGCAATGTGTCTGTCCACTTGAAATTCTGAATATATCGCAGTTTGCATTCTTGGGAAGAGTCATCCAGTGAAAGGATAAAACCTATACAATAAAATAAAATAATTTAAACAAAACACTACTGACAGCCAATTTCAAAATAAAGATTGAAAAGTAGTAACGAAAGAACAGGAATTGGTGAGAATATAGATAAAGGAATGTTTATTGCTGTACTGCTCAAAATGCAAAGTACCTCCTGAGACTTCTATTCTTCAGTATCTGGAGAATAAGACTTGAAAAATAAAAGCTGGCTACCAGAAGAAAATCTTTGCACACCAGGTTACCAGCTTACAGAATCAGGGAATGGTTTGGGTTGGAGATCTTTAAAATATCATCTATACTGCGGGCAAGGGCATCTTTCATTAGGTAAGGTTGCAGGTCTTCAACCCAGCAAGTCTTCACAGCTCAAGAAAAAACCTTGCACATACCATATGGTGACTAGCTGAAGTTTGACTGAGTTGAGTACAGGATGCTTATGGCTGCTCCCTGCTACTGTAACAATGATAAGTAAGGTCGAGGAAAAGCTGTCTGGTTTACAGGGAAAGAGAAAAGGACTTACAAGGATGGATTTACGTAATCACCAGCTACCCTGTCTCCTGGGCTACAAGAAATTGCTTCTGTACATGCAACTGCCCAGAAAGCAGGCATCAGTGAGATTGACCTTGTAGCAATTGGACAGATCAAGACAACAGGAAAGGGTTACAATAAAGATGTGATGACAAAAGGACTGGCACAACAGGCAGGTGCTATAAAGGAAGGGAAGAACATTGCTCACCCGTATCAAAAGGTTCCAGGTTTGCAGGGGAAAGTTTAACCAAGGAGGGATCTCCAACCAGAGATCCTTCCCCAGGGGCAGTCAGCCCTTAAAGAGGGATCTAAGAGAGGTGCAGCCAGGCTTCATCCCATCCAATCACACAGCTGAATTGCCTTCACCTGTGCTCTCGGGGCTGACAGGATCCTTTCCCTGGTGCCCAATCAGTGGTTCAGGCCATGACTCAACAGTTACCGTACAGAGCTCATCATGGATGTTCAGATGCTAGCAGGAAATCCCAGGCAGGAGACACTAACTCAGCTCTGGTCAGGTCTTACAGATTTTAAGAACTCAAGAATTGCAACAGCAGCTATTTGGGCTACAATTAATTCTAGCTTCTGTCAGAGATTTATAGGGAAAGAAAATACTTTTTTTATATACAAGAAATTTTAGTGACAAAACATGTTTTCCTGAAGAAACTCTAAATTTTACATGCAGTAACTTTGTTATCTTGCTTTTATCTAGAATGTTTCATTAACTTACACCACTCAAGAGACTGAGGAAACTACACCAACTTGAGCTGCTTCCCTTTCCACAGACTGAAGGATAACTGAGTTTTCATCAATCATCTGATTCCTATAAATTCGATCCTAAGTAACTTGTCTGAGAGTTTTCAAAAACCGTTGCTAAGAGAGAGTTATTGAAATACTGACAGAAGGAGGGCTTCAAGGGAATATAGCAACTACTGAAAATAAGAACCCAGGGACATACCTAAGATAAAGAGCAGAAACATAAGTTTGGAACAAGTTCTACTACCTAGCATTAGATAAACCAGGAGTTTACACTGAAGAGTGACTTATTAACTAAACCATAGATTCAATTTATACTTCAGAAGCAATTCACAGTGTAAGAAATGACACTTTCTCCTCCAACAGGAAGCATAATGAAGATAAAAGCAAGAGGATAAGACAACCAAAGCTTTCTACTCAGAGTGCAAAAGGACACTGAAACTTGCAGAGAGGGTCTAGCAAGTGTCTGTGACTGGCATCAAGCACAGAGCCCACGAAAATACTCTCCTTCCTGAGAAGGGCAGAGTTTCATATAAGACTAGTTCAACACGTGTTCAGAGAAGCATTATTAAAACTCAAACAACATACTTGATTTATTAGCAGTTCTGCACGTTCCTACCTTGCAAGAGCGAAAAGTACAAGTCAGTTGCATTCTTCATCATCTCTGGATTACAGCTCAAGTCTGTAAACAGCTCCAGCAGTCGTGTCCGAGATAACCTCAAATCACTACAGGAAAGGGAAAAAAGAAGAAAAGAAAACTAAGAAGCTCTACCAAAGAATGTGCTGTTGAACCCATCCACGTTACCACCGCTCTTTTGGCTAAGGAAATTAAAATAAGCATTCAAGTCAGCTACCTTAGCACAAGGAAAGGTACTCTGAAAGGAAGATGCCAATAAATTAAAAGAAAAAAATCTTCCTTTCACCTCTGGATATGTAAGGTTGATTTTCTTTTTAAAAGCACAATCCATTATGGACAGATAGCATTGAATAACAGCAAATAAATCAATGATTATCTGTAAGTTTTATCACAGACTAAAATGAATATTCCTTTATCTACCAAGAGGTTAGGTGCAAATGGAAGAAAGAACAGTAACAAGTAGGAGCATTCATCATTATAAGAACGGGGTGAGCGTATGAAGAGATAAGAATAGATCTGCAAAATAAAGTGTGATTTCTTTTCCTTATATTCCTGACTACAAAAGAACATTTATGTCTTATTCACTTACAGAGTAATCTTTTGCAGAGGAATGCCCAGTCACCAGAAAGACAAAGAAACGTTTAGTCTTTTGCCTCTATATTATTACAATAGGTCTTGCTATACACTAAGAAACTTGAAAATTGGATAATTTGTTCTTTGTTCAGTGCTATCAGTATTTCATTGTCTCTCAGCCTACACACTACCTCTAGTTATCTTCAGAACAAAATTAGGAAAACAACCATTACTTTTAAAAACATCCTCCAAACAGAGACAGGCTGAAGTTGATTACAAGCACACTTACTTGCAAATCTTAGATGAAGCTGGAGTGGTAGCTACCCCATAATAATTGAACTGAACAGGAGCTGTAGCCTTCAAAGGATTGCGATGAAACCAGTGTGTCATTTTCCTCCTGTAATGTTGTTCACACCAAATCTGAAGCATGGAAAGAAACAAGCAGCTATAAGAACACATACAGCTGAGGCATTTCTCAGTTCACAAAAATGCATTTCAAGTGCAAACAATCAGAAAATAAAATAATTTGAAAACTTACATATACAATTATACTAAGTATTATTTTTTCCATTTGAAAGATTGAGCCTTTGCCACCCATACACTTCGTTTTAGAATTTCATTCTCTTGGAAAACCTATTTTCTATGAGGTAACTATTTTCTATGAGAGCAAAAAAAGCTATACCTTTGTTCTATATTACTGCATACTTTCTTATTCAAAACAATTGTTACTGCCTGTGCAAGGTTAAATATCTCCCATATTTACAGGTTGTATAGAAACTGTTGAGTCATGGCCTAAGCTACTGATTGAGCACCTGGAGAAAGGACAGTCAGCCCTGGAAGCACAGGTGAAGGCAATTCAGCTGGAAGGGTGGACCCCTCTTACACCCCATTTAAGGGCTGACTGCCCTGGGGGAAGGATCTCTGGTTGGAGATCCCTCCCTTGTGGAGTTTTTTCCTGTAAGCCTGGATCTTTAGAGACCACTGAATATCTTTCCTTCGTAACACTAGTTACCACCATTGCACTAGTCCCTTTGTCATTACATCTCATGTATCACCATTCCACTGTGTTGATCTAACTGTTACGCAGCTGTATCTCAATTCATTGACATCATTATATTGGAGGTGTTAAAAATATGTGGACGCATGACATTAAAGGATATGGGTTACAGGTTTTCAGGATGTAACAGGACGAAGCCCTGAGCGTCCTGCTCTGACCCCACAGCCGCTGTTGGACTGCAAACCCCCTTGGAACCTCTCTAACCTGAACCACCCTATGATCCTTTTGGGGGCTGTAAACTCCCTATTCTAATACGCTGTGCAGCTTAGCCAAAACCCAAGAGGCCTGCTGAAAAAGAACATCCTGCCGCGTATCCTAGAGCCCAGGCCTTACGGGGGGACCAGAAAGTTCCTTGTCCGCGACCTCTTTGTGCCTGCCCAGCTGCTTGCTGCTTACCTCGCGGCTCACCCAGCCGTTCCCAGCGCGGGCAGGCCGGGCTCGCTGCCCGGCCCCACACGAGATGCGTTCGGTCAGATAATGGAGTGCCCTGGGCACCGCCCCCCGGCAGCACGGCGGCCCGCCGGCAGAGCCCCGCTCATTGTTCACCGCCCCAACGACACCGGAGGCGTAGGGCCGGCCAGGCCGCACGTTCCGACAGCGGGCCCGCGCCGTAAAAGCCCCACCGCCGCTTTCGCTAGCGGCTGACGAAGGGAGGGAGACCTGCGGGAACCCCGATACTCACCCGGGACCCTTCTGCCGGGAGCGGCGGGGCCCAGAGGAGACAAGCGATTCTTGCCCGGGCTACGGCCGGTTCTCGGCGGCGGCGGCGGCGGCGGCGCCCTGCGCGATCACGTGACCGCCGCCATGACACATAGCGAGGCGGAACCAGCTTCGCGCGTAGCGCCTCCGCCTCGGTAGCGATGGCGCGGGCGGGTGCGGCTGGCGCAGCCTCCCTCGCTGGGCGGCGCTGGCGGGAGGCGGCCGCCGCGTTTGGTTGTCGCGGCGGCTGGGCTGGGCCGGGCTGGGCCGGCGGCGGGCGTGGGGCTGGCGGGAGCGGCTGCCCGGCGCGGTGCCCCGGCCCGGGGTGAGCATGGTGCCCTAGTGCTGGGGCTATGTCGGAGGCGGCCCGGAGCCTCCTGCAGCGCTGGGGCGCCAGCTTCAGGAAAGGCACCGACTTCGACTCCTGGGGGCAGCTGGTGGAGGCGATCGACGAGTACCAGATGTGAGTGCGGCCCCGGGGAAGGCGCGGAGGAGCGAGAGGGCGGGCGGCTCCCCGCAGCGCTCCCCTGCCGCCCGGCACGGCCCCGCCGGGCAGTCCGGGGCGGGGCGGGGCGGGTGGCTGCATGGCCTAGGCCGCAGCCCCCCCGGCCTCCCTGCCGGTGCCGTTATGTAACGCGGGGCCGCCCCGCGAGGCGAGGCGGGACGCGGGACCCCGGCTGAGGGGAGCGGGGGCGGGCGGGATCCGCCCCGCCGGACCGAAGCCTCCCAGGGTGCGGGTGATTCAGAGCGCGGGGCAGCGTGGGGACCGTGGGGTCTGACTGGGCGGGTGGGCGCGCGCGCTGCGGAGTCCGCTGAGTGCCGGCGGGAACCTGAGCGAGCGGCTGGGAGCTGAGCGCGATCCGTGCGAGCTGAGCGCTCCAGGCTTCAGGTTCTCGCGGTGGGCGTCTGGAAGAAGTCCCGAGCGTTCCCTCCCGGTAGAATATCAGCCTAAGGGGCACCGTCCGAGAGGTCTTCTACGGCTGCTCGGGGCTGGCGGTGCGGCTGCCTTGGCTCCCAGCTGAGTGCCGTTCCCGGGTGGGTGCTGCATGGTGAGGTGCTCGTCTCCTCAGCACGGTCCCTTAGCGGGTAGGACGGTGCGCGCTCAGTTATCTGCCACTTGCAGCTTAGGGGAAGCTGTTACTACATGCCTTGGCACGGCAATAGAAAGGCGTTTTAATAAGTGCCCTTACATACACATTCATGAGGAGTGCATTATGACCCTAACGCTGCAACCCCCCTTAGCAGTATTAGGGGTCAGTTTCCTTCAAGGAATTTCCCTCAGAACAGAAAGTCCTCAGGCTTCTCCTTCAGATCTTGCCTTGCTGAGAAGTAAGGTCACTTAATGATTGCAGCTGGACCAAGGGAAGAGCCGAGGCGTGATTTTCATTCCTTTTCTGTTGTGTCTGATAAGAACTGAGGTGATCTTGGTGCCCGTGCTTTATTCCAACTTTGTAGCAGTATGATATAGTGGTAAGAACGCTCCTCTGGGTAGCAGCGTTGTGAGCTGCCCTTGGAAGCTTTACCACTGAGCTCCTGAGGAGCAGTCAGCAGATGAACTCTGTGGCCCCAGGAGGAAGAAGAACAAAGATTGACAGGGATTTCCTGGGGAGGAGCAGAACCTTTTCAGTCTGTGCATCCACTTCTTTTCAGTGTAGCAGGTAGACCAACAACAGCTTCGATCCCTAGGATAGAGGCTACAGTTAAGAAGTGTAGGGTGAGATACCAGCCTCTAGCTCTGGAGAAACATCCCATTGTGGCTTCATGCTACTTGCTGCTTTTTTAAATGGGAATTTGATCACGCTGGTGCAGCTGGCTGGATGCTTTTAGCAATTGGCCAGGTCTGTACAGATCAGTGTAGGAAGAATCATGATAAACTATGTTGAGCTTGCTTACAGTGAGAAAGATTTTTCTAGGCTGATCTCAAATCAGGGCTTGAATGGCTCTTGGCACAACTGCTTGCCTCCCTTGTCCAGGGGGCCTAAGTCTGCTCAGGTCTTTGTGTTGCTCCTGGAAGTTTGTGCCAAGATTGACCCTTGCTCATTCAGGTGCATGCTCATGTGCGAGCCTCAGCCACCAGCAGTACCTCCCACCACCTGCAGGACTTGGCCTGGTCCAACCTTGCACAAGCATCAGGTGGGACACCAGAGGCACTTATTTGAATTAGAGTGCTTTTTGTTGGTGGTTTTGTATTAGCAACAAATGCAAAGATCACTGTTGCTGATGCTCACAGAGGTGTTATTGCTAAGATGCTGTCTGTTGTGGGTGGTGTATTGCTGCTATGATTACTTGTTTTCTGAAATTATTTTTTAAATGCCTAAGTGATGTATGTACACAGCTTTCTGTATCACTTGTGCTGTACCACTGAGGAAGGGGTGACCATATGTTCAGGTTCAAGTGCCTGTGCTTTCTGACTTTTCTCTGCCACCATTTTCTTCCATTCCAAGGGAGGATGTTGTAACTAATCTGTGTCATTATGCCATTCTGTTGGTTCTTTGCTGCTTATAGCAGATAGCTACAGTGGCTTCAATCCTTGTGTCTTTTTAATAGTGCTTATTTCAGGAGGAGCAAAGGAACATTTGAGCTCTGCAGTTTATTCCTTTCACAGGCTTTGACTGTGATTGTGTCTGTTTTCACTCCCTCAGAAAAAAGCAGGTTAGTGCCTGTACACCCGTGGCAAGAAGCCGAATTTCTTTAAGAGCACAACATTACAAAGATTCCCAGTGGGAGTGTGTTGAGATGTCCACAGTGCTGTTGTTGTCTTAGGTTTTTCCCTCAACCCCACTCTCCAGTGCCACTAAATGTATGTATATATTCACAGAGAATGGCAACAATAGCAGTTTCCAATTGCACGGTCTGGCTTGTTTAATTTTCTCCTTCCTCCCTAGACGGAAACTGTAACTCTTCCCATAGATTCCCTCTAGCTTCCTTTCGCTTTCGTGAGCTGTTTGCTTGCTGTTACTTCCCAAACCCCTTGACACTGGTCTCTGTGGTGGTAATGGGTGGAGCTGCAGCTCTGCGTATGATGCTGACAGGCCCAAATGGGAACTGCTGCACCCTGGGAGGCTCAGCCACAATGTCCCCATCTCCCTCATTGGGAGAGCGTGTGGCCATTGCCCACGCTACCTGCTGCTGCTCTGCCTGCACCCACTCCTCCTGGCAATCAGATTCTCCATGAGAAACATAGCACTTGTATCTCAGTGGGTCCTTTTCACAGGCAGTATGATTTATGATAGTTTAATTTAAAAAAATGGGGAAAGAAAAAAGGTCAGTGCTCATAGAAGGGGCTGTTGGCTAGAAGGACCTTCATACCTATTTTGACACACTGTAAGTAGTTTTTCCTGCATAATACTTTGTCTTCTGTTTGTTTTTATTTGGTGTGGCCTACTGTGGCTATCGAAATCTTTGTGAAAAAGAAACTGCTTGGAGCAGTAGCCTGTGGCACATTTTCTGTAGGTTGTGACAATGATGATGGGCTTCTGTGTTGTCCTCTCACTGTACAGTTTTCTCCCCTTCTCCTCTAGATTAGCAAGACATCTTCAAAAAGAAGCACAGTCTCAGCACAACAGCTCAGAATTCACAGAAGATCAAAAGGTAAGCGTTGCTGTTGGTGTAGTCATGGAACTTGCCTCACAGATGTTGTTTTTGTGTCTGGCAGACCTGAGCTTTATGATACCTGTTTTCCACTCTTAATATGCAATAACAGAAGCAGAGCCCAGTGTGGCTGAAACTGCTACTGTCATTAGATGTGACAGATGCTCCGCTGTGTAATGTTGAATGTCTAATGTCTCACATGCTGGTCAGTGTCTCTCATAATCTGGGTGTTGTGTTTTCTTTTTTTCTGGTGACCTTTTGATAACTTGCTTATACAAAATTAACAGGATTTATGTTATGAAGACTGAATACAAAATGTCTTGAGCTGTAGATGTCGAGGGTGTGTGTGGAGGATCTTAGCCTAACGTGTAATGCCTGACTGGGAAGGATCCTAGCCGCATACTCCTTACTAGTCTCAATGTTATTTATTTATAATCTTTCAAAATATTGAGCTGTCTACTCTTTCCCCCCTTCTCTCAGCTGAAAAGGCTGGTTTTTGTCTGAGTATCACATAGTTGTCATTCTATGACAGGTTTTAGGAGGAATGTGCTAGTTGAGGTCCAACACACGCAAGTATCTTCAGCAGAGTACAAGGAAATCTGGGATATGAGGCCTTGCCAATCTTTAGTACCTTGCATAAAGCCACATTTTTCGTAGGAATACTATATTAGAGAAAATATGTATTTCCAGGTTGTAAATCATGAGATCCCTTGTTTGAGCAGCAGCATTGCCTGAACAGTGACATTTCCTAGCCTAGAATCCCATGTATGCTAAAAGGGTGCTAGATTAATGGGCTCTGTGTTTGTTAATGTCACTCCTGAAAACAAGCTCTGGCTACAGAAATTGGAGATGAACTTGATCGTTTATCACTAGGAAATACACCTCTACGTGCAGTCTGACAGTGGTCTGTAAATGTTTTCTTGACATATATCATCAAAAAGAGCCAAGAAGTGGCCTTCCCTTTTCTATTGCCCTTCTGTGAAGAAGAGGGTAAGGCTCATAATAGTCTTAAACTGAGTCAGAATCTTGCAGAAGGGTTGGGGCCACCTTTCCTGAACTGGAGGATCCTTGTGAACATTGGGCAGATGTTTACTCATTCATTGCTTCTGGTCTCTATCCCTTTCTAAAATCTTTGTCCATATTTCTCAGCTATTATCATCTTTACTGCATGTTTCTCCTCTGTGGAGACTTTTGGAAAATATGGTTTGTATGGGAACTGCTGAGTCACGGCCTGAACCTCTGATTGATCACCTGAGGCGAGCCATGAGTCAGCCAGAGGAGCACAGCTGAAGGCAATTCACCTGTGCTGCAGGAAGGGGTGGAGCCTGGCTCCAGCCCTCCTAGACCTATTTAAGAGCTGGCTACCAGCAGGGAAGGCTCTTGTCTGGAGATTGCCTCTGCTGGAGTTTTGTGAGTGAGCCCAGCATAAGGGTAAGCCTTCTATTTATTCTCTTTTGTTATCATAGTCTACTTTGCCTAAACTCTCTTGTTTATTTT